TTCCCATCACCTTTTTCTTATTCATCAGCTCTTTTTATGATCTTGTTGAGTGCTCTACTTAGTTTTGAGATGAAGCAGGTAGTGTTTGAAATATAGCTTTTTGAAAGCTAAAACATTGCAGTATTTCATCCTTGTTCATCTGTTACACGTGAGGTGACTCAAGCTCTTCCTCCAGCTTCTCTTCTTTCCTTATTCCCGCTTTGTCTCCCCCCTTCTGCCCCCAGCTCCCTTTTTTGATGCAGCGCGGACAAGTAGTAGCCAGCAGGGCATTGACTTAAAAAAATAGTTTCAGAAGCACAAGCAGCATTTACTATGGAAAGGTGTAGAAAAGGACCTCTTCATTCCTTAAGAGGTCACTTTTGAATTTTTAGTTTGGTCAGTTTTGCAACAGAGACCTCCTTTTTTACAGTTTTACAATTATCCACAGTGATTTCTAGCTTCATCAGCAACATTTTCCTTTAAAATGCTGCCAACAGCATGGGCAGGCTTCGCTTGTCCCACTGAGACAAGATTTTTTGCCTTGGAAGCAAAAACACATTTAGAGGAAGTTTCTTCTTTCTGCAGCCCAGATGGATACATTAATTTCTTAACTCTATGGAGAAGCTAAAAATAGGGTTTGGTAGCATTAATGAACTGTGATGGATAAATTCTCGTAGCCTGACAGAATTATATCCTATTTCTTTTACGGGGAAAAAAAAAAAAAAAAAAAAAAAGGCCTATTACTCTAATACAATTCCATTCCTTGGATTACTTTCTAACCTGAGCGGCATTTATTACAGCCTTATAGTGAAAGAGACCATTATTGGTTAGAGCCCAGATCCATAAACTTTAACATATCCAAACCATATGTTCTTAAAAACCAGTATTAATGGCAATAATCTATACTCGTATAAATGGTGTATGTGCTGATACACATGAATAAAAAGGTTTCAGTGGCCCAATCCAACTCTTAACAGAGTCACGTAAAGGTTTGAAACATTAAACTGGAACAACTTATGAGGCGACTCTTGAATTAGGAAGTGCGGAACTGGGAGTGAAATCTTGGTACTAAGGAAAGCCTCTCAGTGGAACAAGGATATTCCACCTCTCATCTCTAGATTTGTCCTTAGCACTGACGGCGTTTAGAAGATAACTGCAAACCTCTTTGCTACATGATGCCAGATGTATCCTAGAGAGCACGTTAGCTCAGTGGCCCAAATGTCTATCTAATCCAAACCCACTAATGCCAGTGGCTTGCTATCGGTGATGTAGATACATGACAGATCCTTCTGGCTTAATGGAAAAGACTAATAAATAACACAACTCACTCTCGAGAATACTAGGGTTTCCAGTGCTATGATATAGCATCCATGTATTTATCTGATTATACTGTATGTATTCCAGGTGCTCTAACATCTAAATACTGTACTTTTATTATACACAGAAGCAATTAACTATAAATATGTAGAGATGGAAAGATGCAAATAAAACCACTTCCAAGTTGCTTTGCCACAGTTCAGTTGGCTTTACGTCCATAACTACATCCCTTGTTCCGGCTTCTGAAATTTGCTCCCAGTCAGATTTACGTTTTTTAAGATGGTAAATTGCAAATTATCATGCAATACAGCCAATGTTATAGCTGTAAGCATGAAAGAAGCAGCTTCCAAGTGTTCACACTAATTTAAAAGTTATGCCATTTACTCATTAAAGTCAGAAGGCAGAATCAGCCACAAATAAAATTTCAGACCACAAAATCTCCCATTTCTATGATGAAGATGGAGGATAACAAAAGGGAGCCCCTGGCCACACTGCCAGGAAGTTCTGGGACAAAATGCCATTATTCACAGGTGGGGGCTGCACGCTGTTGGAGGGCTCCATACCCTCTTCAGTGATTACAGGCACAAACCCAAACAAACAAATCCCACCACCCACAAAACCAAACACTTTTCAGAAAAGAAACTTTGTGGTGAAGAGCACCTCTCCACTGACAACCTGGAGAAGAAAAGGAAGGAAGAAAGGGCCGAGGCAGGGAAGTAAAAGTATACTGACCAGAGCAAGGAACTGGAAGAGATAGGTGCTGGAGCAAGTGCTACAGTACCAGAAAGATAAGCTATCTGCACGTGTACCCAATCTCCTAGGTATTAAAATGGTAAAAAAAAAACCCAACCCAACCCACAAAAAACCCCACTCCAAACTCCCCCAACTAAATATACTCTCTCGAGCCTTGCTTCTGACATAAATTTTACATCTAAAATTTTTACGGTATTTTATACTCTTCACTCTCCTCCGGTGGTCTCCTCCAGTTCCACCAAAGTCCTCCACCAGGCACACAATGATGCACACTCCAAGCATCCGAAGCATCATTCACTCCCTGAGGTCTCAGCTGCAGCTGCTCAAGAGTCTAGAGAGTGAAGCACCTAAAATCATGCTCTAACAGACGGGAGATTTGGAGAAAGCAAACAAAGACAAGGACAGGCTTTTTAAGCTTCATTAAAACAACACAGTTTATCCCCAAACACAGCTGACAGTTAGGCTCATAAGCTTAAAAAAAAAAACCCAAAAACCTACGCAGTTTGTTTCCTCATCCCTTCAGTTCAAGCACGAAAATACAACTGCTGATGGAAAAAGGAGAGTAAATATTCCTCACTATTGAGTGGTCCAGCCAAATACACATATTGCTAATTATCTTTAGGTGACGAGGTTAAAACAGTCTCGTCCACCTCTGGTATAACCCACAAACTTGAGAATCCAATTACCATTTTAAAGAAAAACATGCCACCAACTCTTTCCAAGACATCTCTATCAGAACACACTTACTTAAGTGGTAGATCCTCTCCTCCTGACAGATCCACAGTATTTGAAAATCCTAAAATTCATTTTACCAAAGACAAAGCCAATACACACCTCTTGTTTCTTTCATCAGGGGTAACACAGAAGTTTTTAACTAATGTGTATTCCACTGAAAGAAAATCAAATGCTATTCAAGTGAATAAAAATAAAAGACGGGGAACTGACATAAAACCAGTGATGTCGACATTTACAGCAATCACAGGACCATTCAATAATTTTGATTTGCTATACAATGTTATTTCCTGCCCCGAAATTAAAGCTGGTCTTCAATGGAAAAGAACAGAATTCAGCCCTTATACTCAGCAAGCTGATGACAAGTAGGAAGTGTTGTTACTGCAGGGAGGTGTGGGAAATCACGTGCAACAAAAGGGCAAGTAAGCTTTTCGTGTCTTTTTGGTTTGGTACACAGATTGCATCCTTCTCTCTGATTTTGGAGGATGCAAAGCAACCTGTTCCATCTTCAATCACTAGTATGCAGAGATCTCAGAATCCGCTACTTTTATGAAAGCTATTATAGAAATTTAGATTTATAGAGCTACACACCTTCCAAATTAAGAAGTTGCACAATGCACTTACAATACTACAATCACAATCTCAGATTACAACTTACACGTTCATTTTATAATAAGAAAACATTGTCGAAAACAGCAGCAGCTAGTGGTAGCAAGATGTCTGTAATTCTGACTCTTAATAAAAGCAAATGAAGAGGTCACAGCCCCATCCAGCCTGGCCTTGAACACCTCCAGGGATGGGGCATCCACAACTTCTCTGGGCAATTTGTTCCAGTGTCTCACCACCCTACTATAGACAACAGACTTGTTGCTCATAAGCAGCAAGAGTTACGTTCATTCAGTAGTGTGTCCCTAAGCCCTTGGCTGGCTGAGGATCCCCTGTCACTGAACAAAACCAGTAATTTGACACCCAGCAAGTTGGTTCACTTTGCTGTTTTTCTTCAGCAATAAATTTGGATGCTCTCTCAATGTGTATGTTGCCATGAACAGAGAGATGCTAAGCAAGTTAGAAGAGCCAAATCCTGCTCTTCATTATTCAGATTGAATTCAAGAAGAACCGACATGATTTTAAGCAGTAGTACTTTCCGCACTGCCCCCTTCATAAAATTCATTTTAGAAAAGTCATAATAATCACCTATGCTAATCGCTTCAAAAGCACAGTGAGAACATAGTTGTGTCTTCTCAACTAAAATATGGTTGATTCTCCAACAGTGAGGAATAAAAACCTTGCTGCTGTGAAAGGTTTGCTCACTGCATCTTCAATGCTACATAACAGCCATGTGCTATGAACTCTGTTTCTCTAAGAATCTGGAAGACTTGCATCATCTTTGGCTCCCCCATTAAGACCCAAGCTCTCTAAATACTTTAGGGAGAAATGGGTATTTTTAATTAATAAACATGAACTAGAATTCCAGTGTTAAATTTTCACAGGGTGAAAAAACCCAAACAAACCACAAACCCACAAGCAAAACCTTCTTTCACTTACACAGGGCATTCTCCCATTTAAAAGCCTCAAATTCCCCTCCTGCTGTCCCCAGACTGTGTTATCTGTCCATCACATATAAAAGAGAAGTGTCAATAGGCAAATCACTCTAGGTTCAAGAGGGGTCTTTGTTAATCTTTCTACCATTTAAAATTCTAATAACACTTTCAAATTTCCTCCTACATAAAGATGCACCTTCTCTGAAGTTACAAGAATTCTACGTGTATTCAGTCATAATATTCCCCTGAATTCTAATAAACAATATAATACAAATCAGAAATATGCCAACTCTGAAGGTTCTAGCTCAGTGAATCAAGTTTTAGTTTGAAGGCAAACAGGTAGCCTGAATGTAACAGCCAGTAAGTTAGATACTGATACTAGAAATTATTTTTGAAATTTGAAGTACTTTAAGAGCTTTCTTTATGCAGCACTTCTCACCAACAAAGTCCACGAAAAACCAAATCAATAAAATGAAAACATTCATAACCCAAACAAGAGCTAATCGTATCCCATGATGAGGGAAAGCAGGGAAGAGCAAGGCAGTAATAAGAAATATCAGGTTCCTATTCCTGTGAGCACTTTGTTTATTCCAGAGGAGCTGGAATAAAGGCGCTTTGAAAGCTTTTGACAGCCATCAATGCATACATTTGATTCAAAAACATACGGGACATCATAAGTTAGGAAGACAATTTATTACATATTATTTTCATCATATAAGTTCATTCTTCTACATTTTAAGTTGTACAACAAAAATAAAAAACCATTTTCTTCCACTTTTATTCTACAGTAGAAATTTTAGAACTTTTGATTGCTTTCCATATAATGGAAACCTATGGTAAATTCTCAGTCTTTTGGTGAAACAAGCCTGTCTTGACAGAAGATGCACTGATTTGTTGCTCAAGATACATTAGGAAGCACTTCATTGCTACTTATTTGGTGAAATAAAGAAAAGTTAAATTCTCTCTCTTTCTTATGGGGACATTGTTTATCTTAAATCACATGCTTTCAAAAATATCTAGGATTGCTCTGCTGTAGCCTGATCCTTGGCAGTTAGAACCAGCTCTGTAAGGGCTGTAAAGCTTTTTATGCTGCTTGTTTCCAGTCCCATCTTTCGTATCTAAAAAGACACAGAAGAAACATTAATTTTCTTTAAAACATCCAAAGCTCATTAATTATTCTCATGAAAACATTTAGCAAAAGCATATGTTTTGTCCTGCATTGATGTGCAGCATAAAACCACAACTGCATATACAGCACACTACAAAAAACCCACGTGTATCCAGCTTTGCTCAGTTAAGTCTTTCCAGTTAATGTAGTGTCTTGCATGAAAATATTTGACCATCTTCTAGGCAACTTGTAACTAAAGTCAGTTGGAAGTTTTCCAAAGAAACAGTCAGAAAGAGAAACTTGGCTGGAAGTTTATTTTTAATGCATTGATTTCAATTGAAATTTTTTCAAACCCCAAATGAGGTTTCTGGGCAAAACTTTCAAGATAAACATGAATACATCCAAGAGCAGCCAACAGCATGATGGTGAAAGCATTTCAATAGGCTGCAAGAGCCTATGGTCCTAGTCTCAAACTTCCTGGGGGATGAAAACAACTCTACAAATAGAGAGGTTGCTACGAGTCTTTTCTTATCCAGGAAATCTATTGCTCTGACAATTAGAAAAATACGGCCGTGAGAAAACTAACAGTGCACTGAAAAAGAAAAATCTGGATATAAATAAAACCACAATGAAATGATTCTGAAAAGGTGTTTGCTGCTGGAACTCTCTGTAGTGTTCACATGTACCAAAACAGCTCCTAAATGATTATGAATAATCTATCCCAGTTCACCTTAAATCCACATTGCAGTGATGTTAGTGCACATAACAGGAATAAAAGAACAAAAGCCCAACCCAGCCAAAAACTGCCCAATAATAGTTTTTGTTAGTAAGATTTCCATACTTCCACCCAAATCTTCTTCCTTTGTGATGTCTCAGATACAAGAAAAGCATTTGCTCACACACAGACAGACTTTATCTACCTGTTATAATGTAAGAGCATCTGCTCATAAACAGGACTGATGACAGCTGCTTGACAACTAATGATACAGACCTACACTTGGAGGTTTGTTTATTTCAGTGTATAGTTTTCAGAAATAAATGAGGACAAAACAGTATGCTTATACAATTTGATGTAGCTCCTGCATACATTTCCTGGAATATTTTCTTCTTTTATTTGTTTCGTTATTTAAGGTTTCATATTTGGCACCGAAAGGAACTTACACAGCACAACAAATAAGGCTAACATCTTCAAAGCTCTTGGGAACAGACCCTTGAATATGCAGTAAGTCAAGGCTGGAACTACCCAAAGAGAAAACAAACAAAAGCAGGGCCATAAAGATGTTTCCATCAGAGCTAAGGAAGGTCCCTGCCCTCTGATCTGTCCACACAGTTTCTGCTTTGTGCTTCTAAGCACCAAGCAGGACTTGAATTTTGAATAGTAAGAAATAGAAGTTTTGCATTTGTGTTAAAAAGGACAGGAAAGGTCGCATTGCTCGAGTAGTATCTACAACCACCAAGGTCTCAAGTCACTTCCATTATGCAGATGGGAAAAAAATAATGCAAAACCCCCCCAAAAACAAAACCACACCAACAAAGCTTTCAAGACGAAAAAACTAAGCCAAACTTCCCTTTCCTTCTCTATATCACTCCTTTCCAAAAACAGTACAAGAACTTATTTCTCGTAACTTACTTGTTCTCCGAAATACTCGACATCTAGGGCCAGCTGCAGTCGGATTTTGTTATCATCACTCATGCCCCCATTTGTACCAACAGGGTTTGAAGCTACATTTCTTCTGGCTTGCTTCAATCTTTTTAGGCTCTCTTCCATTTTCTTAACAGAACTTAGCACATCAGATACAGTTTCATAATACCTAAATTAAGGAAGATTAACAAGAAAGAAAAAAATTACACTGTTACAGAAAAGCCTACTTCGTATATCAGCACATCACTGGCCCTGAGAAAAATGCTGAACAATGCTGGGAGGAATGGTTTTCCTTGCGAGGCAGCTATTTATGTTTCCATCATTATCAGTTAGAAGCCACCTTCTCATCACAACATTTTGGACCTGTTCGAGATGTTTAAACTCAATAGAGACCAAGCAATGCAATCGCTCAATTTTAAACAGTCTGAATTAGCCTCTATTTAGAACCAGCAGAGCGCTAAGTAGAACTCTTTTTATAAACAGGACAAGAATAACAGCCTGACAGACCAAAAAATACATCATTTTAGACAAGTTCTAGAAGGGTCCACGTCTACAAGAGCATGCAAGTGCACACCAGACAAAATCTACTTCTAAAATGAAGAAACTGATCTAAACAGGACTCTCGGAAAGTTGGCAAGAAAAGCCAGAACACTAATGCCAATTTAGAAATGGTATAGATGGAATAAAACATCACTTCCCACATACTGGCATCCATATTAAAGAAAGCATAGAATCAAACAAGGTAACAAATCAACTAATCAAGAAAATTTTAAAAAGCCTTATGGACTGAAATCTCATGCCTAAATGGGAAGGGCATAATACCATGTAAATTAACTAACAGATGCCCAGGACTGTGAGTTGTTAAGAATAGCTAAGAGGAGAAAATAGAGCAACAACAGGAAATTAAAGGATCCATAAGAGAAGTGACCAGACTGAGCTATGTTCTATAATTTGCTAAAATCTGTAACTTTCAAAGAGCCTCTCCATGACAGTGATCAAACTATTACTGTAAGAATTAAGAAAGCTGAAAGAATCTTCCTAATGCTTACTTTTAAACAGGGAGGCAACAGAAAGGAGGCAAGCTTTCTTAAGAGATAATTAGATAGGAACGGCTAGAGAAAAAGTGCTTGCCAGTGCCGTGGAAACTGTTTCAAGATACCATTCTGCAAAAAGTAAAAGTATATGAATAAAATTCAACAATGCATTCTCTTCACATCTTGGTATTTCCCAGTCCTCCTCACTTGTGAAGACTTCCTACTGCTGTACTTAGAAGTTCATCTGCCATTAAGCAAGTTTAGATCTCAGTGATTTTTAACCAGAGTTTATGCTCTTTTCTGTTTTTCCTCATTTGGATGTAAGAAAATATTATCACAGCAGGAAATTAAATTATTTGCCTCTACATTGTCAGTGAAGAAACTACAAGACTACTCCATTTAAGAAATTCAGTTTCTTTGTTTCTTCTCTCGTTTAGGGAGGATAAGACATTTTAAAACAAATTGACAAAAACAGTAACAACAAATTATGAAAAGAGGGTGGGGGCAATCCCAAGCACAAATACAGGCTCGGCGGGCAATCGATTGAGAACAGCCCGGAGGAGAAGGACCTGGGTGTGCTGATTGACGAGAAGCTTAACGTGAGCCAGCAATGTGCGATTGCAGCCCAGAAGGCCAACCGTATCCTGGGCTGCATCAGAAGTGTGGCCAGCAGGTCGAGGGAGGTGATTCTGCCCCTCTACTCCACTCTTGTGAGACCCCACCTGGAGTACTGCGTCCAGCTCTGGAGTCCCCAACATCAGGAGGACATGGACCTGTTGGAGCATGTCCAGGAGGGCCACGAAGATGATCAGAGGACTGGAGCACCTCTCCTAGGAGGAAAGGCTGAGACAGTTGGAGTTGTTCAGCCTGGAGAAGAGAAGGCTCCGGGGAGACCTTATTGCAGCCTTCCAGTACCTAAAGGGGGCCTACAGGAGAGCTGGGGAAGGACTTTTTACTAGGGCATGTAGT